CATAATCCCTCAGCACTGGTGATGTCATCACTAGGTGTTTGATGGGAGTGAAAGCTGCTTCTTGTTCTGTGTCCCAGTCCCACTGAACACCCTGCACCGTGAGCTCATTGCAAACGTTACAAATGAAGTGATCCTCTGCAAGAACCTTCTTTTGGTGATGTTTGGTGATTTGCTCAAAGGTTAAATTAACCTTGAAATGATTGGACTGATGGCAGGAGAGTTTTGGAATGACCGCTCCCCTCCGTGAACACTGCAGGATAAACAAAACAGACAACTCCGTGCAATGGAAGCAGGTCCAGAGTCTGTATGGAGAAGTTTGTATCTCGTGAGAGAGAAGGAGGAGGTGGAAGAATCCTGACACACATCACACTGGAAACATTTGGTGTACCATGTGGATTCACTGATGTTCCAAAAGGTCCAAAGTTCCAAGCAGTCCAACAACTGTGTAAATGTTTTATGATAGAACTCACTCCAAAAGGCTTTCTCCCCTCTGAGTGTCTGGTTGAACCATGACGTACACCGACTGTACAAAGACAGTCACAAAATTGCACCTGAAGGATTTTCTCCCATGTGTGAATACTATGGATTACCTGGTGGTTGAAGACACCACAAAAGGTTAATGACAACCCTCACACTTGAGTGTTACTCTCCTATGTGGATCTTCTGATGGAGCAGGAGGTTCCAGGACCTTGAGAACGATTTATCACACACTTCACATGTAAATGGTTTCTCCCCTGTGTGAGTGCGTTGGTGTCTGCGGAGAGTTGATGAATTTGAGAATGATTTGATACACACATCACATGTGAATGGTTTCTCACCTGTGTGGATGCGTTGATGCGTGTGTAGGCTTGAAGACTGGGAGAATGATTTGTAACACACCTTGCAAGTGAACAGTTTATCTCCCGTATGAGTGCTCTGATGGAGCAGGAGTCTTGATGAACTGGGGAATGATTTGTCACACACCTCACACCGAAATGGTTTCTCCCCAGTGTGGATGCTTTGATGCCTACGGAGGTTCGAAGAGTCTGAGAATGATTTATCACAGACTTCACATGTGAATGGCTTGTCTCCTGTGTGAATCCTGTGATGCAGCAGGAGTCTTGATGAATTGGAGAATGATTTGCAACACACCTCGCACTTAAACAACTTCTCTCCTGTGTGAATACGTTGGTGTCTGCGTAGAGTTCCTGAGTGTATGAATGATTTGTCACACACCTCACACTGAAATGGTTTCTCTCCTTTGTGAATGCGTTGATGTTTGCGGAGATTTGATGATGACGAGAATGATTTGTTACACACTTCACACATGAATGGTTTCTCCCCTGTGTGAATACGCTGGTGTATGCGGAGTTCTGATGATGAGGAAGTAGATTTTTCACACATGTCACATGTGAATGCCCTTTTCCCTGTGCGAAAGTGCTGATAATTCACCAGGTCTGATCGCCCTCCAAAATCCTGGTTGAATATCTCGCCTTTGAATGGCTTCTCCCGAGTGTGCAAGTGTTGCTGATTCATCAGCATCGATGACTTTGCCAAAGTTTGATCGCACATCTCAGTTGAAACTTTCTCTTCCATGAAAACAGATTTACAATGGATATATGTTGTGTGGAAGAGATCTCACCAGTTTGTGAGCCTTCCTCTCACACACACCTCACTTGAACAGCCTCTCACTTCTACGAATGAGTCAGTGGTTCATGTGGCTCAAAGAATGATTGTAGCTGTCATCACACTTGGAGCTGCTTACACTTTTTCCCAGCCTCACCCTGACTGATCACCGACGACCAAACCTTCAGAAAGGCTGCACACAACTGAGCAGTTTCAGATCTGATGACATGTTAAAGTTCCCTTGATCCAATTGATTTCCAGATGATGGTTTCACTACCCAACCTTCTGTGTTAAACAACATGTGAAGTGGCTGAATGTCTTCCCACAGTTATGCAGTTGTTCCTTGAGTGATGGTCAGGATCTATCTGTGGTATCTATTCTCTCTGTATTCTTCGGTGTAGTATGGTGTAACCCTTCTGTAAAACAGGAAAAGGAAACATGATTTCCTCCAACTCTCTCTTCTTTGCTGAAGGGGCTGACTCCTCAGTAAGAGACTGTTGCACAGTGAGTGCCAGTCTGCTGTTCCCCTGTGTGGGGGAATACAAGTCCTTTCATTTTCCTCACTTGACTTTCACACACACTGTGTTTCCAGCAGGCACACTGGATAGTGGCCAGGACCAGTCACCATGACTACTTTCTTTTCTCTGCTCGGAACCCCATCTACCAGGCACCATGAGGGTAATGGAAAAGACAGTCGGTGGAGTATAAGAGACAACAAGGTGCAGAGCTGGATGAACACAGCAGGCCAAGCAGCATCATAGGAGCAGAAAGGCTGACATTTCGGACCTAGACCCTTCATCAGAAAAGGGGGAGGGGAAGGGGGTTCTGAAATAAATAGGGAGAGAGTGGGAGGCAGATAGAAGATGGATAGAGGAGTTGCAGTGGGAGAGAGATCCCCTGAGGTTTGTCCGGAGGGAGGAGGGTAACTTCTTCAGGCTAGGCATCCTTGGAAGTGGCTTCGCAGTGGGGTTAAAATTGAATCAGAGTATAAAATGGGGTATCAATTCACTATGAGCTTATTTCATTTTAATACTAGCATTTGTGAGGATCTGTTTCTTTTAAAAGATATTCGAAGGAAATAATAATAGAGTGGAGATTTTGAAAGTTCTCCCCATGTTTTTCAAAATTAGTTGAACAAACACAGTATACAAGAAATGCCAGAAGTGGATTGAAGGGTTCTGGTTTATTCTGGGAAATTAGATACACTGCACTCGCTCAGACTGCACATCTCAAATTCAGCCTTCAGCCACAGCTCTGGTCAAAAGCCATCGACTCTAAGCCCAGGCCTTTTGGAAAGGCTGAGAACTTCAGCTAAAATCTCTGAAGAAAGCATTAAAAAGCATTTCAATAAATTTGACTCCAGGTTTAGCAGCTGAACTGCTCTGGTGCTGGACTAACAACCCAGAGATTGAGAGTTCAAATTTAACCACAGAAAGTTACATACATAGAATTACATTTCAAATAGTCTATTCAGCCGAACTAGTTCATGCTGACATTTATCTTCCACTCAGGCCTCCTCTCACCCTCTTCATCTCACCCTATCAGCAGATGCTTCTGCTCCTTTCACCCTCATGTGTTTATCTAGTTTCCTCTTGAAGGCATCTGTGCCTTCACTCAACCACTCTATGCTGTGAAGGGGAATTTAACAAATATGGCTATTAGTTGAATAGAATCCAAATATAAATGCAAAAACTTTCTGATTGTCCCAAATACTAAAACGTTGTCCTTCAAGGAAGAGATCTTGTTAGAACTGTCTGGTCTGGTCTACATGTGACTCCAGTCCTACACAACATGGTTGCCTCTGAACTGCCTGAGCAAACAATGATTAACAATCACGACAAAACCCAAAATTAGAAGGAAAATCCTATGGCGGGAATGCAGTGTAGGTTTAGTGGAATAATCCCTGGACTGCAAGGCTTAAATTATGAGGAGAGATCAAACAAACACAGGTTCTATTAGTCAGAGTTATTAAAAATTTATAATTGATTTGTTTGAAGTGTTAAAGTTATGAAATTATTTTCACTGGTTGGGGAGTCCAGGACAAACTAGAGACAGACCTTTCAGATATAAAATGTGGAAACATAAAGGGTGGAAGAAGAATAGAGAGAGCAATTGTTAGTTTTCAATCGAGATTTTTGTTCCCCAGCGGTTTGAAGGGACATCAGAGAAAAGACAGAATATGAAGATTGATCACAGATACGTCATGATCTCACTGAGTGATGGAATATACTTGAGGGCATAGGTCAGAACCCTGCCTCTATATATTGCCACCCAACAAGGCAATATTCTCTCAGTACTGCAGTTCCAATGTGGAAACAGTTCCTCAGTTTGCATAAATTACTGTCCGTAGGATTATAATCAAGTCCCGATACCCATATACAGAACTGACCATTCCCAGTCTCCAGGATAATAACCAGTTCCCAACACACACACACAACTCAACAATAAGAAATCAGTAAAAATCCTCAAATGCTATGCACCTCCCATATACTTACACCTCCCCCTCTCATATTCAGGAATGAGACAACAACAAAACTCAGCCTGGAAATCAGAAGGGAAATGCTTCCAATAAACACACTCAATATCCAACACACAGCTCCAGTCAAACAGTTCAGCACAAAGCACCGAGTAAACAGCTCTCTCAGCGGGATCTTCTCACACAGCATAAGGGACATTTCCACCCCTGATTGCCCACAGGATAGTCAGACTGCCTGAAGATTGGTGTGGATATTATGGGATACAATTTGTATAAAAGCTGCTCCTTCACTCACCATCTCCTCACTGGGTTTTCAGTCTCTATAGGAAGTGAACCAGCTCTGGAAGAGGAAGAGGAGAGAATGGGCAGAGTGGGTGGGCTCTCTGATTGACGTCTCTCACAGCCAATCCAAATTCTACTGTAGGAACATGAGTTTCCCGAAACTTGGGAAACTGACCGGTGAAATGGAGGTGACTGAGCACCAAATCAGGTGGGGATTTAAATTTGTCATTGACCCATCTGAATAAAACCTCACTTATCGCAGTTGCTGTGTCAGTTCCCTTGGTAAATGTTTGACAGATTTTATAGTGTGGGAATAGCATTCTTCATCTTCAGAGGCACTCGGTGTGGAATGTATATCCTCAGATGTGTTTGACAGCAGATCAGAAGAGGAAGACCAATAGCATCCAAGACAGCGATAACATGCAGTGGTGAGATCAGCACATGTACATCAGTGAGGAGCAAAGGAGACAGAGGGCTGTGAGAGTGACTGTGTTTGGGGAACACATCTACGTGCAGTCACTTTGAGATTGACTTTGTGACTGGCCAAGCAATTTGCGGAATGATCTCTCACCGTGCAGCAGATCTCTCTGCAGTCCTTTCCACCCTTTCCAATGACATATCGCTCTGCACCTCCCCCCTAACCACCGCCCCCACCCCACCCCACCCCACCTAACTTGACAAATGTTCCCCTTCACAATTTGGAGATGACGTGTGTTGAAGAACTTGGGTAAGGGAGGCTGGAGATGGGTCACTTGTTTACATGGACTGAGGGGTCAAGGTTTGGTATTTTGGGGAAGCAAGTGATAGCATGGTGGCTGAGTGGTTAGCACTGCTGCCCCCAAGTGCCAGGGACCTGGGTTTGATTCCACATTTGGGCAACCGTATGGAGTTTGCACATTCTCCCTGTGTCTGTGTGGGTTTCCTCTGCATGCTCTGATTTCCTCCCACAGTCCAAAGATGAGCAGGTTAGGTGAATTGACTATGTTAAATTGTCCATAATGTCGAGGTGATGTAGCCATGGGAAATGCAGGGTTACAAGTAGGGGGCTGGGTCTGTGTGGAATGCTCTTCAGAGGGTCACTGTAGACTGGATGGGCCGAATGGCCTGCTTCCACATTGCAGGGATTCTATGAAGTGAAAACAGCAGATTTAAAGGAGTGAAGGAATTTGAAGCCGGTGAAGTCAGTGTTAAGGCTATTAGGCTGTAAGATTCCAAGGCAAAATATCAGCTGTTGTTCCTCCAGCTTACATTTGGCCTCACTGTGACAGTGGAGGAGGCCAAGGATGGACATGTGATCAGGGGAGTGGGAGGGTGATGTAAAATGGATGGCAACCAGAAGGTTGGGCTGGTAGATGCATGCAGAGCGCAGATGCTCCACATACCAGTCCCCAAGTCTGCATTTGGTCTCCCCAGAATAGAGGAGACCATATTGGGAGTAACGGATGCAATAGATCAGGTTGGGTGAAGTATAGGTGAATCTCTGCTGGATCTGGAAGGATTGTTTGGGGTATTGGATGGAGGTGATGGGAAGGTATAGGGGCAGGTGTTGCACCTCTTGCGGTTGCAGGGAAAGGTACCGGCGGTGGTGGAGAAATTGGTGGGGAGTGTAGAGCTGATGAGGGAGAGTTGTGGAAAGTGGACAGGGGTGGGAAGGGAAAAATCTTTTTGATGGTGGGGTCTGATTTCCAGGTGGCGGAAATGTCAGAGGATGATGCATTGGAACTGGAGGTTAGTGGGGTGGCACATGAGGACTAAGGGGACTCTATCCTTATTGCTGTTGGGGGGAAGGAGTTTGAGGGCAGAAGTGTGGGAAATGGAGGAGATACGGTTGACACAGCGGAGGGGAATTTACCGTCCTCAAAGTAGGAGGATATTTGGGATGTCCTGGAGTAGAACGCCTCATCCTGGGAGCAGATGCGGTGAAGGCGGAGAAATTGAGAGTCATAGAATCATAGAGTCATAGAGTAAAACAGCATGGAAACAGGCCCTTCAGCCCAAACTGGTCCATGCTGACCATGGTGCACACTCATCTCGTTCCAACTGCCTGCATTTGAATAAATGACAAAGTACAGCACAGGAACAGGCCCTTCAGCTCTCCAAGCCTATGCTGACAATCATGCCCTAATTAATCTAAAAACAAACTTGCCATTTTTTTATTTGTATCCCGCTATTCCCTCCTATCCATGTACCTATCTAAGTGCCTCTTAAATGTATTCAATGTGCCCGTTTCCAGAACCTCTTCTGGTAGAGCATTCCAGGCTGCTACCACTCTCTGCGTGACAAACATCCCTCGCACATCTCTCTTAAACTTGCCCCCTCTGACCTTGAACCTGTGCTCCCTTGTAATTGAAACTTTATCCCTGGGAAAAAGCCTCTGACTATCCACCTTATCTATGCCTCTCATAACTTGGCAAACCTCTATCAGGTCACTCTCAGCCGCTGTCTTTACAGTAAAAACAATCCTAGTCTTTTTAACCTTTCCTCATACTCAATGCCCTGAAGACCAGGCGACATCCTGGTGAACCTTCTCTGTACTTTCTCCAAAGCTCCACATCCTTCTGGTAGTGTGGTGCAAAACTACACAATACTCCAAATGCAGCCTGACAAGGGTTTTATATAGCTGCAACATGTTTTGCCAACTCTTGTACTCCACATCCCAGGCAATGAAGGTAAACATTCTATATGCCTTCTTAATCACCTTGGCTACCTGTGTTGCCACTTTGAGGGAACTGAGGAACTGCACGCCCAGGTCCGTCTGAATGTTAGTATTCATAAAGGTTCTGCCATTTACAATATAAATCACACCTAAATTTGATCCTCCAAAATGCATCATCTTGCATTTGTCTGGATTAAACTCCATCTGCCATTTCTGTTCCCAAGTCGCCAATCTATCTATATCCTGTTGTATACTTTCACAATCGTTGGCACTATCAGCAACTCCACCAATCTTCATGTCATCAGCAAACTTGCTTATCAGACCACCCACATTTTCCTCCAGATCATTTATAGATACTACAAAAACAAAGGATCTAAGACTGACCTCTGCGGAACACCACTAGTTACCAGTCTCCGTTCTGAAAAACATCCTTTCACCACTACCCTCTGTCTTCTATGGCCAAGCTAGTTTTCTATACATCTAGCCAGGCCACCCCAAATCCCTGACAACAAGGTGCAGAGCTGGATGAACACAGCAGGCCAAGCAGCATCATAGGAGCAGAAAGGCTGATGTTTCGGGCCTAGACCCTTCATCAGAAATGA